GGCCCCGGTAATAAAAATAAATAAAATTCTGAATTTATAACTTATTCAGAATATTACAAAATAAAAAGAATAGAAAATAAATTTCTATATCTTCTAAAAAAGTCTCGTTGTATGAGGACAGTAAACACTGGACAACGAGGACATTATGCACTGGACAACGAGGTCATTATGCACTAGACAGCAAGGTCATTATGCACTGGACAGCAAGGACATTATGTCCTAGGGCAGAATGCAGCGAGGTCTTTATGAGCTGTACCTGCAAAAACAAAACACCGTGGAAGGACAGCGGAGTCGCCGGAGCTGTCCTTAAGGTAGTAGTGCCCGCCTACCGTACCGGAAAGACGTGGGCACTCTCCTCCCAGGATAAAACCGCTATCGTGTGTGGAGATTGTACGGACCAACCACACACCAACGAACAAGAACAACGTAGGAACGTTGGCGACCAAAAAACTTTGAAGGGAATTGCCGGAAAGTTGGCCGGAAAATCAAGAGCTTTCTCTAAAAAAAACAAGGAAGTACTTTTCCTTTCTTTTTCCTTCCTCACGTATGAAACAACCACCACTCAAGAGAATGGAGAGAGCCTTTGATTTTATAACCAAGCCAATTAAAAATGTAACTCCTACACCATAAATCCATGGCATTTGTGGCACACTTAATACCGTGTTAATGGTGATTAATTAGCCATTAACACGTCCGTTACGCTACGCTCCGTTTAAAATTTATCCCGAATAATTAGAGATTAGTGGCCAGTTAACTCCGTAAGAAAGGACTAATTTTATTTTTTGAATGCTATTGACTCTATTACAAGGTAGTATCTGTTCATACTATTCTCAAGCTAATGACTAATGACGCACAAAGAGCCAATGCTACTGCCTTTGCTGGAGCTCGAACCTGGGTGAACTTCCCCATGAATCCTGGGGAGTGGGCTTACTACCACTCAAGCCAGGGGAGAAGTTCGACTAATTTTAAACAATACGTAAAATTAATAAAAGAAGATTGGTTCAGTAAAATTGCAAAAATTGTAATCTTTACCATATTCTTTTATTAACGGGTTAACTCTGAGAATCAATTTCTCATTCACCCTTCTACCATTTTTGGCGTATAATATATCAAAATATTTATCTCATTTAAGAGAACACACGTCCTTTAATTAACGGTTAAAACCGTTAGTGGACCTATTGATAATTATACCCAAGTTGGTCCATTTAATGCCTATTAAAATGCCAAAAATTCCAACATTTTCTTCCTTCTCCCGTCTTTTTCTTTTTCTTCTTCCGTCTTCTTCCTCTTCTTCTTTCTTCTTCATTTTTTATGTTTTTTCTTCCTTCTTTCATCAGCTAGAAGAAGAAATTATTTTCCAGATTTGGTTGCATCTTCACCTGATCTAAGTTTGCAGTGGCAATTTTTTTTAATTTTTCCCAGATCTGTGGTGGGATTTTGATTTTCTTCCTCAATAAAAAGTCTAAAAATAGATCTTGATGATGAAGAGGGTCAGCGACGGCCGACGGCGAGGATGCGGGTCAGCAACGGCGAGGGATGCGGGTCAGCGACGGAAAGGATGCGGGTCAGCGCGGCGATGGATGCGGGTCAGCGAGGGCTTTCGACGGCAGAGGTTGCGGAAGCATCATCGTCATCGGTGGTAGTGCTGAAGTGCCGGCGGCGGTGGTGCTGAAGTGCCGGCGTCGGCGTCGGTAGTGGGGGGTGGCGTCAGTCACTGGGGGAGTACAGGGGTGTACAGGACAGTAATGAGGAGGGGCATAATGGGAAAGTCAACACAATTTTTATTTTACTAAATTTGCGCACCAAGTCAAAGCGGGAAGTTTAATTTTGGACGGAGGGAGTATATATATATAATTAATTAATTACTAAGTCGGTCAATACGAAGATTATTTTCTAATTTGTGTATTTAATATGAGAGTTTACCTACGGTGTAAAGCTCGCTGTTCTGAACTTGACCGTGCAAACGGACTAAGAATCAGACTTAATGGGCCCAAGATACGACTGACGAATAAGGTAATTGGGTTTAAGTTTTTTCTAACATGCTAGAAAGTGTAAATTGGACCCTAAAACCTATTAAATTTTAGAATTATGCTATGTGTACCCCAAGGGTTGTACCCCAATTTGTACCCCGCAGTTTTGCACCAACACTTTGTGTTGGTGTAAAACTAATTTTTGTTAAATGTACCAACATTTGTGTCCGTGTGAATTTTTATTAACGCACCAACACTTGTGTCGGTGTAAACCATCGAAATGTTTGTGCAAACATGTGGTGTATAAATGGGTTATATTTTTTTGGTGTACCTGTGGTTCTAAATTTTATATTAATAGGCTGGGAAGTTACGGGAGACTTACGCCTCTCCTTTTCTTCGTCCATTACCTTCGTTGTTCCCCTGCCTTGCGTCGCTTTCTCTGTCGCTGGTCAGCCAGGTTTTTGTCGCCGGTTCGTGATTTCGCTGGACACCATAGCAGCGCCGCCGTCTTCCCGTCAATGATAGCAGCGACAGCCATGCGTGTGGACTCTAACAGAAATAGCAACGGTGAAAATCCCTCTTCTCTAATTCAGGTTCAAACTCTTTCAATTTCAAGGCGATTCGTTGTCCATTTATCTATCGTTAGCGTTGATTCGTAGATTAGGATCTTGTTTGTATTAATCTTGTGTTTGATTGTGAAATTTGTGGTTGATTGGGGATTGGATTGAGGATGTGTTGGGGGCTATTTTCCAGCAGTTGGCCGGCGATGGGCCAGTGGTGGCTGTGGCTAACGTATGGGGCAGTTCTTGCGGATCCAATTTGGACCCAATTGGTACAATTGGATCCATTTGTGTCCAATTGGATTAATTCTTGTGGAATTGGGTTCCAATCGAGTCTATCTAGGGTGTAATTGGGGTTGTCCGGGTTACCATTGATTATGTTCGGACTCTAATTAGGTCGATTCGGGTTGTTGGGTCGTTGGGCCGGTTTTGGGCCAGTTGCCCGAGGGAGCAGTGAGGCTACCGGGCGGTGGGCAGCCGCCTGGGGGGCTTGGTTGGTTGGTTTCTCGGACGCCGGGTCAGTCTGACGAGTTGTCGGGTTGATCCAGTGGTAATTGATACTATAACGGCCAACTGGTATACTTAGGTGGATCTGAACTGAATTGGATTGTTTAAACACCAATAGGACTGTTGTTAGGTTCGGGCCTTGTGCAGCATGTTTGCATATCCAGTGGTACAGGGTTCAAAACATACGTACGGGAGTCACTTTTCTGAGGGATTTCTTGGTAGAGACTCCAACATGCCCATTGAGGATTCTCTTTGGGTCTCAAGGGATCCTCTCGAGTGTCTGTAACTCTAGTATGTTGAATTTAGCCTTAGTGTTGTAGGGTCAAAACTAGCCCAATAAGAATAAATAAATTGAGACGGTTGGATCCTTGTAATTGAAAATAAATGTTGATTGTTCACTGATGTTGCTGATTATGTAAATGCGATATATCTGTAAAATTAATTCTAACGTTAGATATTTTTCTCCTTCAGCTTTTAGCTCAACGTGTAGTCTGGTTGTCTTTGACTACACGCAGGTAGGGATTTGGACCAGGAGGGCTAGCCCGGAGGACGTTGATATGTGACGGATGACATCATTGCTTCTATTTTTGATATTTAACTAATGTGTTTATTAATTGTTTGGTTAAACATTTATTGTAGAACATTATTTTGAGACTTTTGTGCTTGATGGACTTTACTCTGAACTTCTCCATATTAATTAGGTGTCTAGATGGTTTTGAAGAATTTGTCTAAATTGTTGTTTTGTGAATATCAATTTAGTAGCAACTCGATTCGTTCACTCCTTGATTCGGGTTACGTGAATTGGAGTGTTACAGTTTAAATGTCTGAGAATAATTGTTTGCCTTAAACTGAAATGTTTGCCTTAAACTAATTATAGTTTAAGCGTGTGAGAATTGTTTGCTTTAAACAAAATATGATTTGGCCTTAGATTAAGAATAGTTTAAAAGCGTTGTTATGGTCTTACCTTAGACTAATAATAGTTTAAGAGCGTTGTTATGATCTAGCATTAGACTAAGAAGAGCTAAGAGCATTAAGATTTAGCTTAGACTAAGAATAGCTAAGAGTGTTGTAATTATTTAGTCTTAAATTAAAAATAATTTAAGAGCACTATGGAAATAATGAATATTGAATATTCAAATGAAATAACATGTGTTGATATGAATTGAAGAATATTAAAATCATAAATGGCGAATATTTGAATTGAACAATATGTGCATGATATCAAATAATTTGATTATGAATTGAGTTTTAATCTATATAGATGTTCGGCGCATTAGATATGCTTACGCAGCTTCTACGCTAAATGTGTGGTACGTTTTATTTGCTACACGCAAATTAATAGAAAGAATAATATGACGTGATCATATAGGTAAATGGAGGCGAGATTGTCGGAATAATGTGATAGTTTTGAATTAAAAAACATCAATAAATTTTATTTTGTGATTATGACATCCTAAACTTACGCAATATTGAAAACTTCATACTGTTTATGTTATGAAAAATTTATTGTGATAAATAAGTGTTTGAAATATTTTTTATTTTTACGATTACCAAATTTATATTTTAACCCGAAAGAGGCTACAGACCCAAACAAATTAGAGTGTTTCAATTTGGTATCATAGGTATTCGAATATTAATCAAATACAAATATAAGTTTTATTTTTAATTCGTCTCATATTCGGATTTCGGATTCAGATTCGTATTTGTATTCGAAAAAATTTAACAAATACCAATATTTTGACATTCACTTCGATTTGATTAGTTTACACTCCTAGCCGGAACTGCATGTTTTGCATTACGATATTTGAATAAAGTTATTTTTAAATCATATTTTATCTAAAATGATGTAAAACTGAAAAATAAAAATTATATATCTAAAAAATACATCAAAAGATCTACAGTATAAAACTAGTGGTCACATGACTATATAATTTCATCAAAATTATAAACATAAAATATAGTACAAATAAAATAGTCCTGGATAGCCACCAAAAAAATTAATATCTCATCGTACTCAAATTCCAGGATGCAAATGTTAGCTACAAAACCTTGGTAACTGGTATAACTTTACCCCTAACCCTATTTCAAATGATTGCATCTTACCCGTAACCACATCAATGTCCTCTCCCTGCTATAGGGAAATTGTCCATGAGCAGAGAACTACTTTAGAAAGTCAACCATGTGCAGCAAACAAGAACAATGGAAAGGTGGAGTGAATGCCCAAGTCCTATGAAGCACCAGCAATAGGAACAACAATGACTTCTTCACTTCCATCAGAATCTGAATCCACTCCTGAGATCAAAGAAGTCGATTGGATCTTTCCAGCCTGATCAAGCCGCATCAAAATAACTCCTCTTCCAAGACAAAAAAAAAACCCCAACGGATGCAAGATGAGATGCTAGAGAATGAAAATTATTTGTTTTACATTGCACTCCGTAATAAAATGAGTTCATATAACTAAGGAATGGTGATGATGAAATAACAAGCACCAAAAACCTAGAAGATCAAGATTTATTTGTTTTAAGGCATACCTTGCAAACCGTGATTGAATAGATATGTCCCGAACTTTTATCCTGTTCACAGTTCCACTCTGGCTTACGAGAACAACTTGTTCATCACTTTCACCATCATCTGTTAAATCCAATCATAACCACCACCAATCATTACAGAAATAAAACACTGTTGTGAAAAGACGCTCTCCACCAAAGGGGTGTCGACTATTTTGTAGAAATCAACAAAGTAACTGGACTATCTTGACAAATTCACAGTAACCAGTATTTTTAGGCATGTGATTAATAGGAGTATTCTAGTTTTGATGCACTATTCCGTATTAAATTGAATAAGTGCAATCTTCAGATATTGAAATTCGAAAGCAAAGGTCTTTTACAGTGCACTGTTAGTGCACTGTTAATGGCATGAATCTTGTTGTCAATAATAGAATAAAGCTTTCAGTGATAGGGTATCCTTCTTGGATTTTAAGTAGTGTACTGTACTGCCAATCCCGCAAATGCTTGAAACTGCAAATAAAGGGAACCGCTCTTAAGCCAGGTTTGGATAGCTTCTGAATTAGAGTCAGACTTTGATTTCAGGTCAAAATTGAAGTAGGTAGTTTGTTTGGGTGTTGGTTTAAAATTGTCTGTAATTTTTTAACTCAAGAACACGTGTTTCGGAGCCCATCCCAACAGGTGAAGCGTAGTCACAGATTCTTATTGTAACCACGTCTAAAAACAAAACATCATTCAGGTTTTTATTCCTCCATCCTCACATTCTCTCTTCCTCCACCAGAAACATTCCAACTCTTCTTAGTAAATTTTTTAAGTCTTTTGATACAGACATGTAGATAACTAGGTCCATGAATTATCAAAACATATGCCTTATCATTGCACCTATATGCAACGTATTGTTGCAACATGAAATAGTAATTTTCTTAAGTTTAGCACTCAAGCTTTTATTGAAACTCTCATAAGCTTCATAAACTCTCAAGGGCAAAGAGTAACACTCAACATTTCAATACGTACTTCAATTCATAGAAACCTATAAAGCATTACCTCCCAGAGAAAATCCAACAACAAATGCTGCTGCAAGCCGATCTTCAGATGAAAACTGTAAAAATTCAAGATAGGATTAAGGTATATTGAAACTTCCTTGGAATAAACCATAATGATTTTTCTGCATCCATTTTGCCCCACATAAGAGAAGAGAATAATGGATGATGAGGAAGAAAAATTACCTTGTAACCTATTAAACCAATTCTGTTCAAACGTGATGTGCGGAAACTGGTGAGGGGGACCCTCTTTCCTAAACCACTCTCAGACACAAAGAGCAGCCATGGACCATTTGCGCTCCTACTAGTACATGATTAAACTAATGAACATTAAATTTTTGTTAACATAATTACTATGTATACCAAAACTAGAGATGGATGAATTCAGAAAGCATGGGAATGAGTTATTTCAAAACTAAACATTAAATCCCATGCATAGATAAATTAACTAATCATTCTAAGTTATTGGTGACCAATGGAAAATCCAAATCTAAATAGAAGTGACACACACAAAAATCTTAGCTGAGTATTTCATTCTAGTACTCAGATACTTAGAGGGTGCAAGATTGCATAAGAGCTCCCACTTTATGCAAGTCTGAGTAATGAGTCTGTAGTTGTGTGTGCTATGTGAACATGCATGTTTCAGGAACCAAAGCACATCTACATGTAATCTGCTCGCAAAAGATTTGCACATCTACATGCGGTTTTCCAACTCTAGCTATTAGCTTTAGCAGTTTTTAGTTAATCTAATTGCTGTTGTTGTAGACCAAAATAAAATATCCAAAATGCTAACCACAAATGATGTTACTGAATGAAGGCAAAGCTTGTCTAAAGCATATGATACATAATCTAATATTGACCGGACACGGTTAATAATAGAAGTGAAAGTGTGGTAAAGTTTTGTGCATAGGAGAGAAATTGTGTGAACCGCACAGTTTTCTCTTCAAAAGGAAAAAAGAAACCATTGTATAAAGAAAAAAAAGGAAATGTGAAACTTTTTTATAGGACGGAGGGAATGTTTTCAAAAAATGAGATTCTAATAAACTTCGATGTAAAATTACTGGCTTTCAAGAGCATCTCCACTTCACGAAGCAGCAGATATTTGGACCACAGTTATCAAGGCACCGCCTAGGTGACACCTAGGCGTCTGGGCAGTTTTATGGACTCGCCTACTGGACGCCTAACCCGAAAAAACCTAAGGCGATGAGGCGCTCACCTTAGTTTGGCCTTAGCCTTGCCTTAGGCTCGCCTCTTGCCTAATCTCGCCTGAAAACACCTAAGGTGATGAGGAACTCTATTATTTTTTTTAAAAAAAAGTAACATGTGTCTGATCGTTTTTTCCGTATATGTGTGTATGTGAATATACACACATATACTGTTGCCATACTGAAATCGCCTAATAGACGCATAGGCAGACACCAAATCACCTAGGCAACTAGAAGGTACTCTGGCGCCTGGCCTTGCCTAGCCGCCGTAAAAAACTGATTTAACATTTAATTTGAAAGTGAGATTTTATTATTTGAAAAGATGCAAAATTACTGGCTTTCAAAAGCATCTGAAACTTTCCCGAAGCCACTCAACAAAGCAGCTGGTATTATGTCCATACTGGCAATTTTATCCCCTTCTTTCATCCTCATAGCTACTGAGCCCCGAGTGTTTCTTCCTTGAGATTTTATCTGGGACAAAGAGCAAAGAGTTACTGTACTGAAGAGATCCCTGAAATAGATGAAGAGCCCCTCTCTTGGCTGTGGCTAGAAAATGATCTTCGGATATTAAAGACAGTGAGTCAGTGACTGATTTGGAGAATTGTTTTACTGCCTCAACAATGATGCAAAGAGACATCTTAAGTTTCAAGCTTGAACTGATGCAAATAAAATATAAAGAAAGGTGTGGATGTAATATTGTGATATTTCTGTCTACGCTTTTATACATCAACATATCAAATTGTCATGTCCCTGTTTCAGATTCACAATACTTCCACCTAATTTAGAAATAAGGGAGTGGAGGATTATAGAACTTTGTTATTAGTGGACCACATCAACAGACTGTCAATCTATCTATGGATTCCTAATCATTAGTGGAATTCCCAGTTTAGCAAACACTTCACAACTTTTGACCTTTTGTTATTCAAGAATTTACAACTTTTCATGACAATGCCTTTTCTAGTATGTTTTAAATAGATGGTAAAACTTTAGATAAAAATAAAGATTTGATGTCTCTTCTTTATCAAAGAGAACAAGATATGAATACATGAATAAGAGAACATACACTCTCGCAAGGACTCAAAATAACCATTCCCTTTTGGGAAGCCATTGCTACAAAATCATCATTAGTGCAACACTTCACCCATTTGAGTTCATCGCCATGGACCTGTTAAAAAGGTTGTGCTTAAGTTTCATTTGTCACAAGTCACAACAGAACATAGAAGAAATGATAACACCAAAATTAAGTGACTAACCAATTGAATCGCTATTATTCCTGTTGACCTGATAGATGAGAAAAAGTTTGAAGACACTTTCTTTATATAACCCTTTGCAGTAAGCATCATAAGATATTGATCCTCCGTGAACTCATCCAAAGGAATTATTGAAGTTATTCTTTCACCATCAGACAAAGACAATATCTAAATCCAGAATGTAGACAATCAGAGTAAATAGAGGAGCAAAGATGACAAGTAAAAAAAATGGAAATATATAGTGAATATAGAAATTAATAAACTTAGTTGTGGCAATACCTGGACTAAGGGGGTTCCTGCAGCAGCTCTACTACACTCTGGTATCTTGTAAGCAGGAGCAGAATACACAGTACCTTTATCACTGACAAAATTAAACAAAATGCAGATAGAACTAAGATTTACAAATTTTGATGTGGAACAATAGCCAGCTCATGAAGTGTTTGTCTAAGTGATAGGATAGCACTGTGAGATGCTTAAATCTCAAATATTAATACAGTAGACAAATAAAGCAGAAGTACCTAAAATATAGGACCTGATCATGGGCATGACAAACAAGGACATCAGACATTGTATCATTTACCCTTAATTTACCAACTGATTTCCCAATTGTCCCACGGTGTTGGAGGTGAAATGTATCGGGACTCATCCTCTTAACATATCCCTTCTCACTGACTGCCTATAATTGCAAAAATAAAAATAAAATTTGGGGATAGTAGATCAAGAGGACATCACACACAAGCATGTAGTTTACAGCAAAATTACCAGAAGCATTTCATCATTTGGGATAATATCAATTTCTCCAACTTCACCAGTACCCGAATCCACCAGCATCGAACGCCGAGGAGAGGAAAATTTGTTTTTTATTTCAACCGCTTCGTCTTCAATTAACTGGTAGTTTTATAAACAAATATTACTCAAAAACTAAAGAATTAAAATGCCACAAGAAATATTGAATAAGAAAACACAGTTTCATGCCAGACTAATGAAAATGATGCAGATACACTAAAAGAAAAAATGAGAATTAAGGTCTTTAAAGAAGCACTGCCTGGAGTATTTTTTTTCTGCTAGAGAGAAGTTCTTGTAGCTTGAAAATGTGTTCTGTTAAAGATTTCCCTTCATCAACAAACTTATGTCTCTGCATTAGGAACATGAAAGCTGTGAGTGAAAGTTTTCATTAATCAATATCATATCTCATACAGGCATACAGCACTACTAGTGAGTGGCATATATGCAACACACCTCTAATGCATTGAGCCTCCTTAGGCTTATATCCAATATAGCATCAGCTTGTTTTTCTGACAGTTTAAAATCTGAAACAAGAGGAAAAGGTTAGCCTTTTCAGCGGGGGAATTTAAACTAGCTTGGCCACAAAGAGTGATTTTTAACTACTGCAGGGATGATTAACACCACGACCTACCCAGAAGTTCTAATTAACAAGGTATACAAATTAAGCAAATAAATAGAAAAATTAATAGTGGACTAGCTCTACCTTTCATCAAATTAGCAGCTGCAAGTGCATTGGTTGGAGCTTTTTTGATTAAATCAATCACCGAATCCAAATTATCAAGACCAACTAGGATGCCCTTGGATCATAAACAATGAATAAATAAAAATTAGAGAAACCATGATTCATTCTATTAGAAAATAAAGCTCCTATTCTGCTCAAGCATTGCAATTTAATTTGCTGAAAGAACAAGCAACAATAGACTCACAAATTCAAGGATGAATGTACAGGTTGTTAATTTAAAGGTGTTGTCATGGTGCCAAGGACACCTATTCTACTAGGTAACTGCCTAAGCGACAATCAGGCAACGCATCATAAATAATACTCCCTCCGTCCTCCATAGATCTTCCCAATAGGCCTTTTTCTTTGTCCACTATCGATCTTCTCATTTCACTTTTTAACAATTAAAATACCACAACTACCCCCACTTACTTTATTTATTACACCTCACCCACCTCATTTAATACACTCTACCCATTTTCATTAAGGGTATTATGGTAAACTTTCAACTTTTTTCAACTCTCCTTAAAAACCACCAAAAGTCAAAATTAGAACATCTTAGGGGGACGGAGGGAGTAATTGATACTCCCTCCGTCCATTCTTTATCTTCCCACTTTCCTTTTTGTTCCGTCCACTAATCTCCCCATTTCCTTTTTGATAAATTTTTTTGTTAAAAAGACTTGACTAGCCCCACTCCTTATCTTCTTTTTTTTCTTTTCTTCTTCCTCCCAATTTGGTCCAGGACCCACCTGTTGGTTAATTCCAGTCCTGGATTTAGTTTAAATTTAAAAAATAAATAAGAAAAAAAAGGGCAGGCAGTTACTAGTTACAGTTTTTATGACAGTTTCCAACAAATGTGTTGTTGGTTAGAAACTGTTGTGTCTATTTGTAATGGTTGTGTTGTTTAGTCCTCTATTTATATGTATGGATACATAGTTCTGGACAGCAGTTCCACAATAATAAAACACTCTGTTTATATACTCCAGATCTGATTTTTATTCTCTCAACTAGTATCGGAGCCCTGGTAAAAAATAAAAACATCAAACACAGATCTGTGATCAGTAGTTTTCTTGCAATACACCTTGAAAAAAAATCGTCTGTGATGGAGGCCATCAATACTAAAAAAAACAAACGATGTTGTTGTTACCCCAGTTCGAGATGGAGGATCGACAACGTACCAATGTCCTATTCTCACTACAACAAATTATACATCTTGGGCTATCAAAATGTAGTCGTTTATAGATGCCCAAGGAATTTGGGATTCCATAGAACCACCAGATACGACGGAGGCGGATGTCAAGATCCGGAAGAAAGCAAGGGCCTTTATCTTCCAGGCACTACCGGATACGACTGAGTGATTTGGTGCTTGTAGCATACTATTTGGGAGACAAAACTGGCATTACTTTGAAGCAAACAGGATATGCAACAAAGGTTCTAAAAAATGCAAATTTGTGGTAGTGTAATCCTGCAAAATTTCCTATGGATCCAAGTCTCAAACTTGGAAAAGATGAGGAGCTGACGCAACTGAGTAGTGAGTACCGAAGGATAATTGGGTGTCTTCGATATCTAACCCATACAAAGCCAGATATGAGTTATGTAATTAGAATAACCAGTCAATTCATGGAGTCACCAAAAACATCACATATGCAAGCTGTAAAACAGGTGCTGCAATATATTAAGGGTACAATCAATTACGGGATTCGGTACACGAGGAATGGCGATGCAAGTTTGATTGGTTATAGTGACAGCGCACATGCGACTGATCGGGCAGATGGAAAGAGTACAACTGGGATGATTTTCTATTATGGGGGTGGTCCGATAGCATGGTGCAGCCAAAAACAGAATACGGTTGCACTATCTTCGTGTGAGGCTGAGTTCATTGCGGCAACGGCATGTCAAGCTGTCAGGTTAAAATGTTTGCTTGAAGAAATCACTGGTCAAAGCATGGAACCCATAACAATTCACGTGGATAACAAGGCTGCAATCATGTTAATGAAGAATCCAGTGTCCCATGGGAGAAGTAAGCATATTGACACTCGATATCATTTCATTCATGAATGTGTTGAGAAAGAGCTAGTAAGGATTGAGCATGTAAGTGGTGACGAGCAGAAAGCTGATATCTTGACAAAAGCATTACCGAGGGTCATGTTTATCGAGATGAGGCAACTGATGGGCATTGAAGATTTGGCGGGAATGAGGACTGGAATCAAGGGGGTGAATGTTGGTTAATTCCAGTCCTGGATTTAGTTTAAATTTAATCACAGTCTCTTTTCTTCTTCCTCTCCCTTCCAATTTGGTCCAACCACCCATTATTCTTCTTCTTCTTCTCTCCCCACCCCCCTCCGGTATGGTCCAGTCACCCATTTTTTCTTTTTTCTTCTTCTTTCTTTTCTATTCTTCCTCCCCTTTCTTATTTGGTTAAGCCACCCACTCCATCTTCTTTTCTTCTTCTTTCTTGTCCAATATCGTCTTGCAGTCTTGCCCAACCCTATGACTCAAAGGTCACCGGATCGTTCATATCTTTGTCAGATCTGAGAAATCCGATTCAGATCTGTGAAGGAGGTCAGCGTCGATGAAGGATCTTCTTCTTCAAGTCATCTTCATCTTCCTCTCCAAATCTTTTTTATCTTCTTCAGATCTTCTTCAATTCTTCCATCCTGACAGGAGGCTCAATTTGGGTCTGAAAGATGCTCACCAGAATTCTGGATTGGTCAGAATTTCCTTTTTGGGCGGCAGAGCTTTGAGCCGGGCTAGGTTGCTGACTGCTTGATTGGTGGGGATGTGGGGTAGTGCGGAGGGGTATTTTGGGGAAGTCAATGCAAATCTAAACTTTGATTAAACTCTGTGCCCGGTCAAAGCCGGAAGATTAATAATGGATGGAGGGAGTATACAATAGTAACACTAATATAAATATATCATATATATTGATAAACATTAAATTTCTAATTCAGCAAAGGTTAACATCCATATGAAAGAAAATATGTAACAAAGTCTCAAAAATCCTCAAGAAAGTAAAAAAGAGCATTCTGTTGTTGATGAGAGAGCGTTACTGACTACTGAATGTTGAAAAAAAGTAGAAAAATGAAAAAGACAAGAAAAAATTTAATTACTGTATAAAGCACTTCTTACAGCGAAAGAGTGAATCGAAAGCCAGAGACTGTGAGTAGCTGTGAGATGACGGCTTTCGGCAACGAAAAGAGAATCGTCTGTCGAAGGAGCGCAGCAGGGGAGTTGTCGACTAAGAGGGTTCCAACTTCCTAAGATATGGCATTCTAGGGATTCTAATTTATGGCTTTTTGGATTGCGTCTGTAATGAGTTATAGTGTTTGACTCTATGAAGGAAAGCAATCTTCAACTCAATAAAGAGTGTAGAAGGTATTGATATAACATACAAAGAAAAGAGAAGCCTCGGAAGTCTAATGCAGATTTAATTTAGCTAGCTATTTTGTAGTAAACTAAGTTTTATTTCTTAATTATCAAGTTTTTGTAATTTTTGAAGTCCTAGTGATGTAATTGAAAGAACTGCTTGTTTTTTAGTAATACTCATGTTTCATAGAAGTTTCAAGTTGTGTCAGTATTTTAACATGGAGTTAGAGCCAATCACAATAACGCTGGGAACACACCATCACGTATTGCCAAGCACGTAATCAACTTTTTATGTGTGGTCTAGATCTCCTTATCTGGCACTCTACTCACTTCTAAATCCGCACAAGTTAATTCCCTTTCTCTCGGTAACCTGATCTAAAAAGTTATACTTTTCAAATGCTGACCAGGAAAAAAAAGAAGACAACAAACCAAGTGTTAAATAGTGCTTCAATGAGGGTTCTAGTTTTTCAGCTACATGTTCTTTTTCAGGTGAAACCCATTTTCAAGTTTCAGGGTTCTAGTTTTTCAGCATCATGTTCAAATTACTCTGACTTGTGATAAAATCATATCAAGCCAAGCATTTCAAGCTTTCAGCATGCTTCAGCTTTAGCGAACAAGAGAGAATAAATATTTAGCTTAAGTTGTAGTGTAGTTGTAAAGTGCTGAAAATAGAGTAATGAGTTATAAAGTTAGACTCTATTGAGGGAAGTTATTCCATTCTAGCAAGGAATTTTGAAGGTCTCATTGCCTTGATATAAAGAAAAAAGGGCAGCTGCGTGAAGAATAAAGGGAAACCTAGAGTCTAATGCAGGCGTAAAGGGTAAACTGGTTATATAAATTACAACACAAAGTAGGCCTACCTTTATCTTCATAGAATAGAATCAGGTTGTGTTAATGTTTTCGGACAGGTAAGAAAGGTATGTATTTTGATTCACTAGCCAGAACCAATGCAATAAAAACAAAAGAATCCCTAGGTAGGAACCACTCCCATTATGGAGTGAGTTGTAAGCCCCAAGTTGGGACATGAATGGGCCCCTTTAGAAGGACGTAGAACTCAATTCCATCAGGAACTGAATTGAACTCCATTGTTTGTTACACTGTTTTAGCAAGGAATTCAATTTCAACGAGAATTGAATTCTTTTTAAAACAATTGAATTCTGATCTCCTGAGCTGCAATTTGCTACAGTACGCAGGGATTCGCAACTATGTGCCCTTATCATCTTGGTTGTTCTTCTTCTTCAAGTCATCTTGGTTGTTCTTCTTCGACGTTCTTCTTTGCTGTTCTTCAATTATTCATCCTTCTTTGTTTGTCTTAACTCCCCCTCTAACTTCTTCTCCTTATTTTCTCTTCATTGTTCTACTTGCACAGATTTGGGTATAATTCAGACCATGACAGGAGATAAAGTGAGGCCGTGAGGGACAAAGAGGGAATAGTGGGGATCAAATGGGAGCACGAGGGAGAGGGAGCAGGAAAGGTTAGGTTAGATATATGTATTCCAAAGAGGAATTCATTCTAAAATTGAATTCAATTCATTACTAGAATTGAAATCCATTCCTCACAAGAATTGGTCCCAAATGGGTCAGAACTCAGAAGCAATCTCAATTGAATCAGATAACTTAAAAAATACAGTTTTATATATAACGCCTGTGTTCTCACATATATATCATAAAATCAATAAAACTAAAGACTCATTATGTTTACAAATATTTTATGTGTATGTTTTAACCAAAGAGTAAAGAGGCAGCATAGTTATTAACGGCATGAGGCATGTGAGAGGACCTTTTTTAGGCAAGAGGCAGGCGGTCAAATGGTATCTAGCTAATGAGGTGATTGAGGTCGCAGCGAAGAATGAGGCAAGGATGTAAATTTAAAGCACATTTATAGTAAAAAAATAAAGGAAAGTGGACTGAAATTGCTCAAAACCAGGATACTAGAGCAGTAGGGCATAAGCCCTAAGTCCCTAACAACCCCCAAATGTAAAGCCCAGTCATATTAGGGTGCAAGCCCAAATTTTAATACGTGGCGCTATCGCCCCTATATTGATTTAACAAACCCATGGCATAACCCTCAAAAGCATTTTTCAATCTTCTTCAGAATAACAGAACATAAAGAGGCCAAAGCAATGACATAAAAATTAAGAAAACTTTTAAAAGCATACCTCAACAATATGGTATCTCTCTTGAGCTTGTAAAAGTTTGAATCTAGCACGTCTTTCAACAACATAGCATCTAAAGTCCAAAAACTCCTTCATATAGGAAATGAGTAAAGAGTCCGAAAATTAATATGCATCCACAGCAAGTGTAGCCGTTGAGAGATCCAAAAAACAAACTTCCATTATTAGTCCTCAGATGTTCACCCAAATAAAGTCCTCAGAAGTTGTAGGATCGGCATGTTATGCAGTAAGTAGAGTTGAAAAGTCAAACAGGACTTTCAAAATATTGTAAGTGGGATATGATGAGTATTTAGTTTCAAACTACCACCACATTTGATTGCACTGTTCATTATATATTAAAAATAAATATTAGGATGTCCGTATCTGAAAAAGTTGAAAACACTATTTCAATCTTTTGATCTACTGATACAGGGATACATGACAAATGTTATGGTATGCAAGGAGAAGCTTGAAAAGATGTCACCTGAAGCAATTCTTTCAAGCCCATCAGCTTTGGTTCCCCATTGAGAATACTGACCATTACCAACAATAACAAAGGAATATAATGAAATGCTTCTGATAATTTCAATAATGATAAATTGGTGTATAATTATCTCAGTGATGCAATCTTACATTGATACATATACACTGAGACTGAAGTACTATATCATACTGATACATCTATCTCTAAACAATATAAGATATGTAAATACAGTCGATTTTACAAATAATATTTAAAAAAGTAGGGGCTTCAATTCCAATATTTAAAATGCAAGGACTCATTGGTTTAAAGAATTCATGATAAAACGCTTCTAATATATTGTGCACAATATACATATATAGCCACAAACCCCCCACCCTAGCCCCACCCACTAACCCTTCCCCTAAACCCCCCACCCTAGCCCCACCCCTACCCTCCACCCCAACAATGTACAATAGCCACATTTGGAGGGGGCTTAGAGCGGGGCTGGGTGGGGGGTATGGGTGGGGCTAGGGTGGGGGATTTTGGGGTGGGCTAGGGGTGTAGGAACCATCAATTTTCCGAACAGCATAGTTGTTAATGGTGGGCTCCATTTGCGCTTAGGGCGCCTAAGGCGCAATAGCGAGGTCTTTCCGCCATACCAAGCTAGGGCGAGGCACTTCACACGAGGCACGCCATGGCGGATGCCATTCACGACTGGATATAAGGCGAGAAGCGGAAACCATCCTCGCTCTACGTTTGGAGTTTTTTTTTAAATTTCTATGTAACCTGCAGGTATCCTAGATCTGATTTTCCGTTCCAGTTTTATTTCTATATTTTCTTTTTCTTTTTTTAGTTCTTTTTTCTTTTGTTTCCTGTTTTTTTATTTACTTAATACTATGTAACTAGTAGTCAATTATGATATAGTGTATTATTATTATTGTTGTTGTTATTATTATTATACACACACACACACACATATATATATATAATTACATATATATATACACATACACCAACACGTACACCTACACCTACACCTACACCTTCACGTACACCTACATCTACACCCTATGTAGCACTGAAACGGAAACGGGGACGGAGACGAAACGAAACGGACACGCCGAAACGGCTATTTTGAAAAAATGAAGAGACGAAACGCCGGGGAAACGCCAAATTTATATATAAAAATTATATATAAATAAATAAAATTATCTAAACAAATTCACAATACATAACATATTTTAGTCATTACAAAACACATTAAAGTATAAGTTCACAAGACATATCATAATTTAGTCATTACAAAACATATTAAAGTATAAGTTCAAAAGAGATAGCATAATTTAGTCATT